GAATAGGTATAATTCATGATTTGGTTAGTATTGAATGTATTGATACTATTAATTGAGGCTTTATAATTTAATAGTTTTTTACTATTTTTTCAATTATCACTGAAAAGAATATATTCTATTGACCAAAATCTAGTAATTCACGTATGTAAATAAAACTAGCTTCATTTTCATTATCTGATCATTTTTACTCATTCCAAGATGTAATATCAGAAATTATACTAAATTTTGGTTTTTCTTTACTATTAGATCTTTAAAATTAATACTATATTAATATTAAATTAAGTACAAGTCAAACTCATTATAGTAAAGTAGTCTGTTCCATTAATAAAAAAATTTACTATATCAAAAGCTTATTATAATGAGAGTAATTTGTAATAATAATGAATGGTTACCAGAGTCTCAATTAGATATTCTTTCTGCAATATATATTCTAGAGATATTCTTTATTGCTTCTTCTATATCCTTCTCTATTTTATTTCATAACCTAGCTTTACATAGCACTTTATTATATAAGTAATTTATAAATTAAAGATAGTATATTTATTAATAAATATTATAAAGATAGGTAAAAACTCAAATATATATATAGTATTGTACTATATATTATAGGCACCTGAGCATGATGAGAATCAATTACAGTTTTTACCTTTTTTGTTTCTAAAAATATTTATCTTCTTAGTTGGATTCTATACTACTCCTTTCAGTATAACATAATTATCATCAACTCAATACAATAATAGTGACCTCTATTGTCTGAAATTATTAATACCTATTTTAGCTTTTTTTCAAAGGTTTCTAAAACTATATGTAAAGAAAATGCAGTAAACTAGGTATCTTACCTAATATCATTTGACCAGTAATTAAAAGTAGAAATATTAAATATAGTATTATCTTCATTCTTAGTATATATTAGTACTGAATACAATGTAAAACTATATTTTTCATAAAACTCAGGTTTTGTTTCATATACACTTTGAGGATTAATGCACATTTTATAATCCACTATAAGTAGTATTTCTTTATGATCTAATTCTTGAATATTAGCATTTATTTGACTATTAAGATAAGTTTTCCTCATATGATAAGCTATAAAATAGATTAGATGTTATTGATATTCTTCTAAAGAAGAATAGTACTCAGTTAGAAGATTTTCTTTTAATGCTGAAAAAAATAAAAAAAAGTGACTCACAATTAAAGCAAACATTAGGATACGGTACTGAACAATTACCAAAAGCTAAATATAAATAATAACTAATACAAAAAACATATATTGCAACATTTGAATTATTAATTATCAATTGTTTTTCATAATCTTATTATAGATACTGCTGCAAGATATATATTCGATCTATTAAATTATTCTATGTTATATAATTATATTTATTAAATTATATAAATAAAATAAAAAAATATAGTATATTTTATATGCAATTAGTGAGATTTTTCAAATAACCTAGAACTGTTTCAGTTTTAGTAAATTTATTATATGGGTTATAGCCCATATAATAAATTCACTATAGCTAGGGCAGTTTAGAGAACTACCAGATAACCTCAGGAATAGCTATATTAAAAAAAAACGGATATGCAATTATGTAATAAATTTTACCTTAATATAGGCCTCACTAATAAAATTTTCAATAAGTAACTTGATTTTATCAAAAACAATATATCCATATTCATTACAAGTTAAAACAATTCTCTAAGATTATCTTTATAAAGAAATTATTTGCCTTCAAGTTACATCATAAATGATGTTCATCACATGCCATTAAGATAAGTTTTAAAAAACTTTTCTCAAAGATTTTTTTTGTATTATGTAAATAAAGAACAGGTAATTTTGAATTTGATTCAGTTTTATAAGAACTTGAATTGACGTTAGCTTTGTCAGAAAAAAATTCTTCAAATTGTGCAACCATTTCAAGTATTAGTTTAATGTATGATATTTCTGGTTTTTGAAGTAAAGTTGCACTATATCCATTAATTCGTCCATATTTTTTAGCTTCTGAAATAGTATGTCTTTCTACTTTAATTTGAAATTTAAATTATAGTATTAGTATCATTATATACTAATGAAATTAAATTATATA